GAGTGCCCCTGTCGGTCATTTTGGCCAGCCAATCACTTGCCCTGCGGTACCCTCCGGTGCCCCGCGGTGGCTTGTGGGTAGGTAACCGTACCGCGGGTTTTTACCGCGCATTTTGAATGGTTGCATCTGTAGCTCCCCAAGAAGAGACAGAAACATCATGCACAGACCTGTTCTGTGTAGTTCTGGGGCATGTAACCATTCCGAAAGTACACAATTGCAACTTCTCGGCCATCTCTAAACAGAAACGGAATTGTAAAAACTATCCAAAGTTTTAGAAATCCTCAAAATTTAGTTTCACTCATTTCCAAATTTGCATCTGAATAGTATTTGTGAAACCTGTCACAAGACCACCCTCTCTCTGTAGTTTTCAATTTGCACCCTGGAGACAGCCTTGAAGACACCATTGCCACATCTTTCACGTCTATGAGAAAAGCAATGGAGATACTACTTACACAAAAAGCCTTTTGTCCTGGTCCAAAAATCCACCTTTGTACACATCAGCAAATCGCCTCCTTATGACAGCAATATTTCTGCAAATGTAATTAGAATTTAGTTATGTCAATTATGTGTCTTTTGCTACACCCCATGCCTGAAATTTCCATCTTAACTCACCAGAAAAACCCCTGTGCAAGCCTTCTCCTTCTCCTCCAAGGTGCACACTGTCCATGCACAGTGGTGCCAACCTCCATTTTGCACACCCAAGCACCACAGAGCCCACAGCAGATGAACAGAGGACTGATGCTGCTGTCTCCTGCATTACAGGCGGAGACCTAATGGCCAGTGGGTCAATTTTCTACAGGTAGTCAGGGATGTCCTAACAGACTCTGGTCTCCCCCAGATTGGTGACACTTGGCCAAGTGCACACTGCCAGCTGGGGCAACAGCTGTGTGTCTTATCTTTGTACTTTTTATTTTACAAGTCATACATGCCTTGCTCTCTATAGATAAAACAACAATAAAACGCAATGTTAATCAGTCTCTTTCAGATTCCTTATACTGTACATGTCTTTTCTTTAAAAAAAACAACGAAGTATGTAATAAAGACACAGAATACAATGTGTACCCTCCAGATGAATATCTGAATAGCTGAATAAATTTACCTGTTCCAAAGTTCATTTTCAACATATCGATGGTCATATATATTCACTTGGACATTTTCAACCAGAAACATCACCACAGCCCTGGAAGAGACAAGTGTTTCAACTCAACAAGGCTAACACGAAGATTAACTCACTGTGCCACCAGTAGCTACAAGGCAATGTCCTCACAACCTGGAGTGCTTTTTCATCCAGTTCACTTTAGGCATTGTATTATCATAATTTCCAGTATGTGTTCCTCCTTCA